TCGGCGGTTGCGGAACATTGCCATGCAGAGGGGCACCGAATAGACTTCGAACAAACAAAGGTGCTGGCTAGGGACAACAGATACTACCAAAGACTGACAAGAGAAGCCATAGAGATCCACCGACATAAAAATAACGTCAACAGAGAGGATGGCTGGGAGCTTAGCAGAACATGGAAGATGGTGGTGAACACGAAGACCTCTTCCCGCCTCACACCGGACGCGACGCAATTAGTTATTAATTAGTTTGTAATTAGCGTTAACTGATTATTAATTAGTTTTTCCGACTTATATATAGTTACCGATTTTTTGATCTCGTCACTTCGAACCAGTTTCTGAAGAAGGTTGCAACATGGCATCCGAAACGTCAAACCTTTTATTAAAAGACGCACGGCAAAACCCGAAAGTTTCTAGTGTTAGTTCTAGTTTTAGTTCTAATCTTAGTTTAATACAATTAGCTTTTCTTAAAAAACACCCAATGGGGGCATTGTTTCTAGATTTGAAGAACGCGTATGCGGGGCGTGTTTACACCTAAATTGATGGATATTCTGAATGAACATAATGTACCAAATACGTTAATGAGTGTAATACATAAATTAACAACAGTTAAAATTTTACAATTGAAGAATGATGGGTTGAACATGAGGAAAAAAACAGGTACAGANGGACTTGGTCATTATGGAATTTGAAATTATAAGCATTATTATGGCATTTTTGGACTTGTTCATTTTTTCCAAAAAAATAATATTGAATTTCCGGTACATGAGCATTGAAACCTAAAAATCTAAAATTTTGGACTTGGTCACATTCTCTTGTATACCGACGATTTATCTACAAATATACAAATAGCTTTTTTTAAAAAACATCCAATGGGGGCATTGTTTCTAGATTTGAAGGACGCATATGGGGGGCGTATTTATACCTAAATTGATGAATATTTTGAATGAACATAATGTACATAATACATAAATTAACAACAGTTAAAATTTTACAGTTGAAGAATGATGGGCTTAACATGGAGAAAAAAACAGGTACAGAGGATTACCTCAAGGTANTAATACATAAATTAACAACAGTTAAAATTTTACAATTGAAGAATGATGGGTTGAACATGAGGAAAAAAACAGGTACAGAGGATTACCTCAAGGTAGTTCAATAAGTACAGTACTGTTTTAACGTTTATGTTAGAGGACTTAATGAAATGTTGAAGAACACCAATGCTACTGCTATATATTATGCAGACGACATAGCAATTTTTGCAGATGCAAAGCCAGACAAAACATGATTAAATCATTGGCTTCAGCAAAGTGGGGTTGGATTGAAAAATATTATCCTTGTTATATAAAAATGTGATAAGATCTAGATTGGAATACGAACTCTGGATGACCATACCAACAACAAAAAGTCAAATGTTGAAATTGAAGAGAATTTGTTACAGAACATACCGATTAATTTTGGGAGCATTGAAAATGACGCCTGTTAATGCATTGACAATAGAAATGGGAGAAATGCCAGTAACATATAGAGCAGAGGTGCTGTATACAATATTTATTCTTAATAACATCAAAGAAAACTCGAACATAATTATTAAAACTATTGAAAATTTGGCGAAATGGTATAGGAAAAATAGGGAGTGGGATAAAAGAGTACCCTTGACCGTAAAGATATTAGCAAGGATAGAAGAAAAGGAGTAAAGAAATAAACTCATACAAGATATATTCAGAATTAATTATGGCATAAAACATTTTAGACTAATGACAGAAACACACTTACCGATACGAATTCCTAAAAAAATTGTGCATCAATATAAAAATAACATAAATGAGCAGTTTGAGGAATTTGTAAGTAATAAATGGCCTAATACTTCGCATATCTACACTAATGATAGCTGTTAGAATGATTAGAATATTAAATAAAGAGAAATAGATAATCTTTATGGACTCTTTAAGCGCAATTGTGTTATTCAATTGAGTTACTGAAATTAGAGTTATTAGAGTTAACAAAGAGACTGGAGAAGAAGAGCTAATGCTCATACTCCAACATGTGTCCCTTATAATAATAATATCAATCAGTAACCTTTAAAATTATTTAAGTATAATTAACAATTAGAACTAACACTATCATTAGAGAGACATTCTAATGTTAGTTCTCGTTTTAATTATAAAATTTTAACTAAAAGTTTCTATTTCTAGTATTTGTTCTAGTTTTAGTTAAATTATTTATTTATATTTTTTGTTATAGCCACTAGTTAAATTTAAAAGCCATCTATATTATGAAGAAAAAGACAACGTTTCGGAATGTTTAAAAAATTTAAAAACTTTATCTGGAAGTAAAATAATCTTTTTCAAAAATGGCCAATGCCACGGAATTGCTTTTAATGATATTTATTGCGGATCTTATTACCCAATATTGTCACTACATAAAAACACTACAGTTTCTGTTAATTTTGGACCCAACTTTAAATGTGCTCCTCCTCAAGATCAATTTAAATATCGTGGGGTAATTCTTGAATACATAAATACTTGCATAATTTAATTAAATAATTTTTGTTTGTAGATGTTTGAGAAAGCTGAAGAAGCAATTTCCGAACAAACGATGGCCGATATGCTGTATTTAACTGAAAACGAAGGGAAATTACGATTGGAAAATTTCGTTATGTGACAATAGTGGTCTTTTTTAGTTTCCTTGTTAATTCGTTTCGTATTGAATTGGAACAAAAATCTGTTTAATTTGTTTTATTAATTTCCTAAATATATTCATAATCAAGAATAATTATTATATTCAACATTATTTTCCAAATCCCCCCCGGCAATTCGGACTTGGTTCAACGACATCAGAAGGTTTCCATTGATCCGGAGTTTTTGCTTGAATTGATAAAGCATGAAGTCCTTGCGTTAATTCCTCTCGTAATGCATCATTAACCATTCGATGTCTCTAAATTAATTAATTAATTTATTATTAAAACTAATTTAATTATACCCACCATAATTAAAGGTACGTTCATAAACTTTTCGGAAACAACCAAAACTTTGAAATGGGACTCTGATCCTTTTGGGACATTATGCATTGGAGATTCATTGATGACTTCTAAATGTTTCGGGGCAAATTCCGAGCTGAGTTTTTCTCTAATAGACGTTTCTATGGGATTTGAAACCATCTTCAAGGAACGTTCCGTCGTGTTTTTTGGATCTGAAAGTTTAAACATAACCTTAAACGTCAAAATTTGTTGTGCGTTTTTTTTATTAATTTATATCATCCTTACAAAATTTAAAGATTTTTGATGATATGCGATTCATCAAAAATATATTAATTGCAAATTTAAATTTAATAATTAGAAATTGATCCTAAATTTTTGACAGTTATTTAGTGGGCAAAACAGATTTCTTTATAACTAGTTAAAAATAGGGAACTGTAATTTTTTATTTTTAATTTCAATTTTACATTAATTTAAATTGATTACGATATTTATTTACATATATGATTAAGTTATTGTCATTTAAATTTACAACCTCACCGACCGATATTAATTTCGTATTGTTTTAATTTTGGCGGGGTAATTGCAATCAGGGCGATTGCCGTTTTGGCATATTATTTAAAAGATTAACATCTACCCCGTCGTTTTACCCCCGCGAAATTACCCACCACCGGTTCGGTTAATTTATGCGCCCCTATCGTGACCGTGTTGTATAATAATTGATTGTATATAGTCCGGATGGAATAAATCGGGGGGAACCCCCACAAATACATAAATCTTCTCATTTAACGACCCTAAACATATAAATTGTTTATTGATCATAATAAAATTATTTCGATAAAGGGTTAATTCATAAATTTAACAAACTTAATTAATGATTTTTATAAAATAAAAGATTTCGTGCATATTTTTGTTTTATCGCTTCATTTAAGCTTAAATCGTCAAGGATAATCTTCAATTTCGCGTTATCTATTCATTATGGTCCAGGTTAATTGCTTGGTAAGTGTTTAGATCGATTCAGTCTATAAAGAACCATACCAAGAATATTATATGCTGCAAAAATGGTGATAAAGCAGGTAAATATTGATTTATTTCAACCTTTTTGTGTAAATACAGGAATATTTTAGCTTTTTTCTTAATTAATTAACAGCCTTTTATCTTTTTAATGTTTTTACATGGTAATTTCCTTTGTTGAAACTTTATCTGCAACAAAATATCAAATTACTAATCAAAGTTAAATCGTTTTTTTTTATGTTAGAGTAAAAACGAATCAAATAAAACGAATAAAATGAATAAAAGAAATAGAAAAAGTTTGACACAAACCAGAATGTGGAAATAAATATTTGAAACGTGCTTTTCACTCTTTAGTTAAGTGGCTCTTATAAAATAAATAGAATCCGGTTAAACACACTCGTTATCCAAAGTGCTTTGTTGATTTTCCGCTCAACAAATAACTTGAGAATTAGGTCATAAATCAATTAATAATAAAGTAATAAAATTAAAAAAGAAATGTGTTGAAACGTCAAAAATGACACTTTTATAATTTAAAGTAAACTACTTTATCGACTTTGGATATTTGGCTGCGGTTAATTAAATTATTTCTTTTTCTAAATAGGATGATATTGATGATGTCCAAAAACGAGCGTCTTGGAGTAACCCCATTGAATTTGTTTTATCTTGTTGGACGTACGCAGTGGGATTAGGGAACGTCTGGAGATTTCCTTATCTTTGCTATAGAAACGGCGGAGGTAAATAACTCGTTTTAAAATTGTAAAAACAATGAATCATTAGAATTAAACGGATTAAAAACGCATTAAAATTATTTGGTTATTAATTATTAATTAACAAACAAACGGCGGTTTTCCATTTAATTGCGAATATTGTCGGCGCGTCTATTAATATTTATTTAATTCTTTCTGTTTGGGTACAATATGTTCCGGGTAAATTTATTTATACTAGGCTAGTAACAGCGATGAATTACCGACGAAACGAAATAAACAGCATCGGTACTGAATATTTATTTAAAATCGCCCAAAATCAATAGTCTAGTTTAAACGTAATTTAGTTTTATTCCCTTTTAATTGAATTCTCATTGATTATTTTAAACCTCGACTAATGAGGTGTAATTAGTATTTTTATTCAAAGATTATGTGTTTTTAGGTAATAATTTCGTGAATGGTGACGTCATTAGTCTTCTAACTTTGGGTGTGAAAGCTCGGGTTCGAAACGGTGGACTGTTAATCATTGTGAATGTTGATTTATAGTTACCGATACCGAAAAGGGGGTCGCTTCTATACACGGGAAGTTAGCCTAATTGCCAATTAAACAATTCCGTAAAGTTTCTCTCTTCGCGATTCAAATATAAACTTTTAGGGCGAGTTCTTATTTTAAGAATAAGCTATTTTTTTTTAATTAACAATAAAACTTTTTAAACTAAACATAATTTTTAAGTTAATCTTGTTTTTGAAGGATACGTTCTAAAATAATTGTGAAGTTGGTAACAATTAGCAAGATTGATATGAAATTGTGTCAAAGTGACGTATACATTTTTGTTACTCAAATAGACAAAATTCAAGGACGGTAGAATCTAAAGCTTTAGTTCTATAAAATATATACAACAATCATGTATTGAGAAAAATACGAAAATATGAAAATTTGATGAATGGATCTTGTTACAAAAAGTTTTTAGAACAAAACTTGTACCAAATTTTATTGTTAACAAGATTGCTCTCTTGCACTTTTGCTCTTAGTCGCTTTGTATGGTTTATACTTATTTCTCTATCATATTCGGGAGCAGCGGCTTTTGGGTCAGACGTCTTGTTGCAATTTCTCTTGCAGGTCATTTTGGTATGTTTTTGTATGTGGTTTGGGGAAGGACCAAATATCTATTAAATTTTCTGCTAACCGGCTGAAGGCTCTTACAACGAGCAAAGACCAGAAAGAAGACAACCGCACGTCTTCTTTCTGGATATCTTGTGAAATAAAATTCCGCGGCTAACGTCGCATTTTTATCTGACAATATATAGCGTTCCATCATGTTACATTTTTCATAATTTTCAAAATTCATTGTAAAGTTTTATTCAGTTTTGTTATACTTTGACACTTAACATGCTGGTGCATCGTACCCAAGGTTTATATATTAAAGGTTGTCTAAGTTCCTATGTTGCAATACTTTGATTTTAGTTTGTGGGCGAGGGGCAAGAGCAGGAGTGTTTCGTGACGTAAGCGATCACGGATTGCGCACGCAACCTCATGGCCATATGGTGTTCCATGCATTTGTTTAATTTGAATTGCTTGGCGGTATTATTTTCCACATGTGACGTAATGCGCAGTATAGTTGCGTACGAACCTAGACAACCTTTTATACAGGGTGTCACACAAAAAACGCCCCAAGCTGTAACTCTGTTATTTACATTCCGATTTTCATGGCCTAGGTATCAAATGAAATGGTTTTATAAATACTATGATTCATGCTGCAAATAATTTTTTCCAACGCCATCTTCAATTTTAAGCGATTATTAACTTTTGTTTTTCAAATTGCTGCGTATATTTTTCTTCACGTCATTGGATAGAGATTGTTCTTCTGAATCCATTGATGTACAATACATCCATTTTGAATGTAAGTTTAGCAGAGAAAAGACACCTGTAGTCACACAAGAATGCCGCAAGCTGTAATTCTGTCATTTATATTCCGATTTTCATAAGCGAGGTATCAAATGGAAAGGTTTGCTGAATACTATGATTCATGCTAGAAATAAACTTTTTCCAACGCCATCTTGAATTTAAAGCGAGTATCAACTTTTGATTTTCAAATTGCTCGGTATGTTTTTCTTCACGTTGTTGGATAGAGTTTTTTTTTTCTGAATCCATGAATGTACAATACATCAACATTAATTATAATTGTAGTAGAGAAAAACATTAAAATAGTTTCCGAACATTCTCTGAAAGTCACTTGTGGTATACTGTAGTGTGCCATGGGAAAAAATAAAAAAAAAACAACTTATAAGTATCATTTACAACTGCTTCGGGCATTGAAATAACATTTAATGACTGTTATCAGGTTTGCCCGTTATTTTTTTCTATGGCACACTAGAGACAATGTTCGGAAAATGTTTTAATCGTTTTTCTCTGCTAAAATTACAATTAATGTTAATCTATTGTATATCAATAGGTTCAGAAAAAAAATCTCTATCCAATAACGTGATGAAAAACATACCGAGCAATTTGAAAATCAAAAGTTGTTAATCGCTTGAAATTGAAGATGGCGTTGGAAAAAGTTTATTTGTAGCATGAATCATAGTATTCATCAAACCATTTCATTTGATACTGGGTCATGAAAATTGGAAGGTAAATGACAGAGTTACAGCTTGCGGCGTTCTTGTATGGCAACCTTTATATACAGCTGTCTTTTCTCTGCTAAAATTATATTCAAAATGGATGTATTGTACATCAGTGGATTCAGAAAAACAATCTCTATCCAATGACGTAAAGAAAAATATATAGAGCAATTTGTAAAGCAAAAATTAATAATCGCTTAAAATTGAAGATGGCCTTGGAAAAAATTTATTTGTGGCATGAATCATGGTGTTCATGAAACCATTTCATTTGATACCCCGCTCATGAAAACCGGAATGTAAATGACAGAGTTATAGCTTGGGGCGTTTTTTGTGTGACACCCTGTATATAAACCTTGCATCGTACCAGCACATAATGCCAGAGTTGTTATCGAATTTTTTTTTATGTTCCATCATAGTATGTATGGTTATCACCATAGCAACATTAGCTTTTAAATACATACATTAGATTTAGATGGAACAAAATGAATTTTTGTTAATTATTTAATAACTATAAGAAATATACCCACAAACTATATATATTTGTTATCAGAAGAAAATAACAAATTATTTTAAGCCATTGCCAACTATGGTTTCCATTTAAAAAAATAAAGTTACGTCTAAAATTTCGAAAATAAAAGATGGGAAAAAAATTCTACCTACGCCACTGAATTCTTCGTAAAAAGTTGCCCATATAATGTTTTATTTATAATACTCCATCTTTGATAATAAGTGAGATATTCGCGATTGTCGTTTTCGCAAAATTTTCAGTTTTTGCCGATAGGGTGAAAACAAAAGACGATAGCTGTTCGAAGTTTTCGGCATTAGCATTTTCTCGAAAAACGAGATCATGACATGTAAGCTACTTTTTTTCTATCTCTTTTAGTTTCGGAGTACGTCTTCCTCCGATTAAAATATTCCTAATTCTTATTCATCGTTATTGTTTAATAAATCGATTATTATTGTTATCCCCCAGGAGTATTTCTCATCACTTACATCGTTATGCTCTTCTTAATGGGAATGCCGATATTCCTCTTGGAGTTGGTGGTGGGTCAATATTCCGGTTTGGGTCCTGATCAAGCCTTTAGTAGGTTAGCGCCCATTTTCAGTGGTCTCGGTTATTGTTGCCTTACGGTTATCGTGCTAATAACCATTTACTACATGGTCATAATAGCATGGACGGTTTTTTATTTCTTCGCATCGTTCACGAAAGAATTAGGATTTGGATCTTGCATGAATCATTTTAACTCGATAGGTAAGCGCAAATAAAATTAATTATTTATCTGAATTTCTATTGTTGTTTAGGTTGTTTTAGCGCAACAGAAGACGGAAAATGCGATAACGTCTCAACTTATTTTAACTTGACGTGCACGCCAATTTCAAAAATATGTCAAAATCACGGTTTATCCGATTTTAAAAACAGAACTTTTTGTCTTGATAAAGAAGGCAATCCAATTCACATCGGTAACGTTATTAATCGGACGTTGGCGACGTACGAATATTTTAATGAATACGTTTTGGGGCGTAGCGAAGATATATCTTGGAGTAATTTTGGAAATTTACGCTGGCAATTATTACTTTGTTTGCTTTTAAGTTGGATTGTGTGTTATTTATGCGTAATAAGGGGTGTACGAACCTCGGGAAAAGCAGTCTATTTTACAACGCTTTTTCCGTATGTTGTGTTAACAGCTTTGGTTGTGCAAGGCGTATTACTTGATGGAGCCGTCGATGGGATTTTACTTTTTATTACGCCGCGTTGGGAAAAATTATATGACGCCGAAGTTTGGGGTATGGCGGCATCACAAACATTTTATTCTTTCGGAATCTCTTGCGGATCCCTCGTTACGTTATCATCGTATAACAATTTTAAAAATAATTGTATACGAGATACATTAATTGTAACAGCGGCGAATACTTTTACGGCGATTTACGCGGGAATCGCAATATTTTCAATGATAGGTTTTTTAGCGAAACAAATGGATTTACCAATTGATCAAGTAGCAACAGACGGACCTGGTTTAGCTTTTGTTGCTTACCCCGAAGCAATCCTCCATTTACCAGCATCAACATTTTGGGCAATCGTTTTCTTTTTTATGTTGTTCGTTTTGGGTTTGGGGTCTCAATTCGCGGGGGTCGAAGCTGTTAATACGGCGTTATTGGATAAATGGCCGTGGTTGAGGAAGCATCAATGGAAGGTTACGATGATGATCTGTTTCGTTTGTTTCGTCATGGCCATTCCGATGTGTTTCGAGGGTGGGATTTATTTGTTTACTTTAATGGAATGGAACACGGCTTCTTGGGCGATTATGTTGATTGGTTTGGCGGAAGTTGTTGCGGTAGCTTATTGCCATGGGGCGAAAAAGTTTCTGGAAAATATGGCTAAAATGAAAATGAAACTTTCATTGATCCCGTATTGGTTTTGGTGGATCTGTTTCGTTTTAATAACACCGTTAGCTTTAATTGTAAGAATAAATAAAAATTTACACCAAAAAATAACTCATTATTTATTTAGGGTGTTTTTGTGTTCCAAATGGTGACTTATTCGCCGGCGACTTATGATGATTATGTTTTTCCAGTTTGGGCCGACGTTTTAGGGGTTTTAATCGGGGTAACGACGTTAGTTCCAATGCCTATTTTTGGAATTTATACGATTTATCAAAGGAAATACGTACGATTATTATTAATACGATATTTTTATTTGAATTTATTTATTTATTTATTTTTAGAGGGGAAAAGAATTGTTTAAGCCGACCAATTTGTGGGTTTCTCAACTGGAAAGGCAGGAAAATTTAGATACAAATCTTGATCATGAACGTTATTAAAAGAAAAATATAGAAACACTTTTAGTTGTAGTTATACATTTTATAATTAATTAAAAATGAAAAATTAGATAAAAATAAGAAAATATGAAAAATTGAAAAATTTGCTTTTTCAAGTTATTAAAGGTAACGCTCGGGAATTGGAGCGTATTACAAAAAAACTTTTAGAATAAAACTTGTAGCAAATTTTATTCTTAACAATATTGCTCTCTTGCACTTTTGCTCTTAGATGCGTCAATATCGAGAGAAATACGAAAATGTGGAAATTTAATGAATTTGTTGCTTGAACTTTTGCTCTTTGATATACAGGGTGTCTCACGTAACTGGTTCGTTAGAACTTTTTTAGGTTCCACTATGCGTAGAGGTTTGAAATTTTGGTAGCATGGGTTGTTCATTCTAAACTTTCAATCTAAAATACACTGTTGGAAATAATTCACGAGCACACCCTATATAATCTGAACGCGTGAAGATAAATCCATAATATTTGCAGAGCACAAAGGTTTACTGTAGACGAGTTTATTCAGGGAGTTTTGAGTTGTTCCGTCGCGGCATTGTTGACTGAGCCGCCCTTCCAAGTGGAACATTCCGTCGCTATGGAGACCGAAGTGGATGGAAAATACCGGTCGTTTTTAGTGTGGTGTGAGGAACCACATTGTTATCGTACTCTGTGCGCAATGGATGGGCGATCGCGTTACTTAAGCGAGTTTGAGCGAGGAATGTTTGTGCTTATGCACATTGAGGGTGTATCGTTCTGTGAAATTGCGCGTCGTCTCGAGCGATCTCGAGTGATATTTTAATAATGTGAAATTGACAGTAACAACAATTCTTTGTTTAATGATATTACAGAATTTAATAACCATCGACTTTTCCCAAAATACGTGTAGCTGACTGAATCTGATCTACTTTATCGCTTAGCCTACAGTTTTTAACAAAATTTACTTTTCACATCTTTTAAACCTTTTAAATTTTTAAATCTGGATCGTTTCGTACTGTGATATGATTCACAGTTTCAACACCGCACAGATAGCCTACATAACCTTAAATAAAACTCACGTTAGTCGTCTTACTGCGCTTCACGCTATAACGCGTTTTTACTTTTTGAATTTTTTTAATTTGCGTTCTTTTTGTTGATGGTAATATTTTAAGTTTTATTGCGACATTTTGTTGTTTACAATCTTTTTATAATGAAAAATAGGTAATTGAAAGCCGCTTTACTGAATTCTAAATATAATTTTAAACTTTCCTTTCTTTTACAGTTCTCTTTAATTTTTCAACTCGCCCTTCTGGCTTTTAATCTTTTGTAACTTATTAAAACATTACGTTCTTACTCCCGAAGTCGCTTGGTGTTCTGATTATGTATTCTCCTTCTAGTTTGATTCTTCGTTATTGACGGTATCTAGTTTAAACATTGTCATTTGCAAAATGGTTTTTTCTATTATTGATTTTTCAGTCATGCCTGAGGAAGGTTTCATAGAAACCGAAACAGCTTGTGCACCGATTAGCTAAGTTTTTCAAATACACTATTTTTTATCATAAGACCTTTGGTATTTTTTAAACTTATCTCTCTACAATGAACGTGAAATCACAATTATCTAAACTAAAATGTCACTTTTATATTTACGCTTGTAAAACTAGCAAAAATTTATATTTATCTTGCATAATTCTTGTATTAATTCCTC